AAAGAGGCCTCCGGAAGTTGCAGGAGGGCCTCCGGATAGCAATTTTCTGGAGGCTTTGTCCTGGCAGCCTTACACAGATGTCGAAGCGGAGATCAAGAAGCGCTGCAGCAGTTCCAACGCGAGTGCACGGCAAGCAGGGCTCTGCAGCCTGGTCCTCTGTGCAGGCAGAGATGGGCCAGTGGCAGTGACAGACACGTTGAAGTTCCTCGAGGTCCGCCTCCGGAATGAGCAAGACAATGTGCGGGCAGGCGTCCTTCGGCAGATGGCTGAAGCACCGGTGCTTGTCTGGCAGGATGTACACATCCCTTCCCTGAGACAGTTGCTCACGTCGTCCGTGCAGGCCAAAGGCACCAGTTCGGAGTCTCTGTCGGTTTGGCAGCTGCTGGTCGAGGCCCTGATGGCCAATGGTGCGGCCTTGCGCACTGAACTCGGGCTGGGCGCATGTGGAACGTTTGCACTGGAAGTGAAGTCGCAGTTGACTGACGCCTTGCTTTGGAACGTGAACGATGCGGGGTTTGGATCCGGTGTCCTCCGTCAAACTGCGCGGCTAGAGCCGCAACTGGCCTTTGTCGCTTTTCCGTGGCTCGTGGATTTCCTGCGGCCCAGCATTCGGGCGTTGCTGGACTTGCGGAGGGTCGATCAGGCGGACCGGAGCCACTCTCATCTTCGACCTAACCTTGAGCCCTCCGAAGTCGTAAACCCTCGACCTGAGTTTTTTGTTAGCTGCCCTCTGCCAGCTTCTGGACCTCGCCTGGCATGCCCGAGAGCGTCGAAACCCTAAAGCGTCAAAGCGTGCCCCCAAGCGCCTGCGTAGGCCTGCGTGCTGCTGGTTCAGTGGGAAGGCCAGCGCCTCGAATTCCTTCGAAAACTGCCTCGTAGCGGCCGCCCCACGGTGCCCGACATCACCAACGCCTGTGCCAGGGCATAAAAGCCAATAAACTCTGGTTCTGGCTTCACGGATCAGGGCCTGGCCGTACGTGAGCGTTCAGGAGTCAGTGCTCAAACTAGATGGGTTGCATCATGTTCCACCCAAGCCCAAAGCCATAAACCACGAACGAGAGACAGCAAGCCCGTGCCAGCCCCAAACACGCCGAGTGCCAGCAACCCTTGAGCCCGGGCACAAAACCCCGATGCCGGCTTGAGGTGCAGCCTTCGCCGTGTTGCTGCGTGAGGCCTTCGCGACTGCCCTGCAGGCCCGATTAGGGAAGGAGGTACGTACTGTGTGTGCTTTTCTCCTTGGGTTTTCGGGAAAAGAGTTGCAAGCTCACTCAGCTTCATTGATGTGTTGAGGGTCTTTGTTCAGCTTCCATGGTGAGGAGGGTTTCCGGTTTGTGTCAGCTTGCGACTTGAGGCTTCAGAAGGGCCCGTAGCCCTAATCACTAATCCTTCAGCCCAAACCAGGGAATCCACAGCATCAACTTCTCGGCCGCGGCCTGGGCCCAGGCCGCGCTTCAGTCTGTGCTCCTTGGCTTGGGATTTGGGGGCCTGCCGTGCCAAGGTTTAGGGCTACGTTGAGTTGAGGGTTTTTGGAGTGGCCGAGGCTTTTGCCCTCCTTTGCCCACCTGAAGGAGTCCGAGAGCCTCACATGGGCACAGGAGCCTATGCAAAAGGGCGTGTAGTCGCCCTACTAGTAGGACTCGGGGGTTGACAGCACACGACTTGACTGGTTTGGAATCTTGAAACAGCTTCGTGCAGAAGGAGCAGGCGGTGCGATCGCTGTGCCAACTCTGCAGCTCCTGGTGGCAGACCTTCGTCGGCCGCATGGGCTCGGCGCTTCCCTGGCACACGTCGCTGGCAGTGCAGTTTCTGGGCAGCCTGGAGGCTCGGCACCTGCAGCGGCGGAACGGCACGCTCTTCGACGAGCTGGTGCAGGCGCTTTTCAGGGGGCATGGGGGAAAAGGCATGTCCTCTTTCCCTTACAGACCGTCTCTTGAGGCACTCTGCAGCAATTGGGACACGATGGCGGAGTGGCAGAAACGAGAACTCGCCGGAGTGGCAACGCAGCAGTGGGGCAGAGCATGTCGATCGGCAGGGACTTTTTCAGGCCTGGCACCTTTGCTGCACCGACTCTGCGATTGGCCCGTCCCGCTCGTCTTGGAGCAGCGCAGCACCAACCAGCGCATAGCCGAAGTCACCAACAATATTGTGTTGCGCGGGCGAGCACAAGCGACTAGGCCCAACGTGGGTGGAGCTATGTGGAGCTTTTTACATTAGGGCATTTGGCGAAAGCAAGCCCCAAGTTCGCTAAGACTCTGCAATTATCAAGCTTCACATTCCGACAGTAAACCCTTGGAGCCATTCACGATACACTTATCGTAGACTTAGTAAACCCTTAGAGCCTTAGAGGGTCTCAGGAGCTGGTGGCGCGCCAGAGGTCGGGAAGGGCGGCCTTGCTCGCTCGATGGAGGCACCAGGACGCCTCGCTGAAAGCCGAGCTGCTCTGCACCTCCCGAGTGCTTCTCATGGCCTTGTAGCTTGGGCCCATTGGGCTAGTCTTCTTGAAATGAAATTCATGCTGCCACTCTATGTAAGACAACAGTCTGGCTAAATGAGATTCGTGACTTCAATTCTGGGGTGTGGGGTTGGGGTATTCGCGGTTTTGGGAGACTTGTCATCGCTCCAGGCTTCTCAATTTCACCGAACACCCGAGGTCCCAGGATGAGATCCTTACCGCCAGGTTTAGCTTCTGGCTTTGGGCAGCATCAGTGTTAATCGACCCTGACAGATTGCCGAGGCAGCACAAGCCCGAGGCGATTCAGTTGCTGGTCGGTTTCGAAAGCGACAAGCTGCAACAGCTCCAGCACCTCATGGCCACCTGCGGCTATGGTGGCGGCTGGCCTCTGCACTTCTTGCAGCAGGAGTGGAAAGGCGAGGTTGCATGCATGATTGTAGCGGTATTTTTCCTTGTAAGATCGCAGACGTGAGAGCTGAGCACCCGAGGTCCTCGGCAGTTTTTTTCCTGGCCCGTGGCGCTGCAGCGGTCCTTTGCCAGTGTTTGGCTGGATCCGGGGCCCTTGGGGCTCCGGGAGTTCCAGGAAGTCACCATGCCCTTGGAAGTGAAGTTGGCACAATGCCGTGTGCGTCTGGCGCTGCCAGCACTGGGTGCTGAGGAGTTGGGAAGCGTGCTGGAGGCCTGCACCCAAACCCTGAATCAAGACGAGCACCAAGAGGACAAAACGGCCGTGGCCATGGCCCGCGGCCGGGCTGGTTGGCTTCTGGACCGGCTGATCCCTGTCATGGCTCGCGCCGACCGGCCCAAGGAGGTGTTTCAGCTAATCTCCAGACAGCTCGGGCAGGGCAACTCCAAACAAGCCGCTCGCAGCTTCCAGCACGTGCTGCGGAGGCTTGGTCCCATTGAGGCGCAGGACGCTCTGGAAGCTGCGCTCCAGAGCCGCTTGAAAGTGGCAGAGCGTGTGGCGCTGCTCCGGGATTCGAGCGAGCTCGGCCTCTTCAACGGCTCGGACGCCAACTTCGTCGCTCTGCTTGAGTCCCTCTACGAGAGCCACCGTGACGTGGGCGGGGCCGTGCTTGCTGCTTTGTGCAAAATCGGACAGACGTCCCTGCTAACCCGCGTGAGCCAAGACGACGGATCGCTGTACCAGCTGCAGGTCATGCTCGGCCAGCTTCAAGGCACTTCGGGGTCCTTTTTGGGGGATGAGGTGGCGAGCGTCCTGGCGATGTTCTGCCAAAGACCCGGATTGGGAGTGCAGGCCTTGCAGGTGCTCTCAGCTTGGGCGCAGTCAAGGAGAACCTGCGATGCAGGCACCGTGGCCCAAGTTGCAAGGGCATCGTCTCAAGCCTTGGCTTCAAAGGACGAGGGCTTGTGGGCACCAGCAGCAGGCTGTTTGGTCTCCCTGGCTCACTTGGACTCCAGCCCACTTACAACCATCTTCTGCCAGCTCAGTGCGGAGGTCGCGAATCTACTTCCTGCCTCGTCCCGACTCAGGGTCCTAACGCAGCGCCTTTTGCACGCGAAGGCCTCCTCAGAGGCTTCGGAGGCCTTGGTGCTGGCAGTCGTGTCGGCGGCCTTCCTGACGCCTTCTGCGCTGGCGTTGCGCTTTGGCTTGGAGCTTTGGGCCACCTGCCTTCACTGGAACGAGCCTGTGAAGGTTCTGGAGGCATTGCAGAGTCTCCCTTCTTTACACCCCATCCTCCTGCCTGTGCTGCTCTCCAGCTGCTCCACATCACTAGCCCAACAGAGACCCCAAGCACTGCGTGAGACCGCTCGCGCTTTGCTGCGAACGGAAACGGAGCCGGCTCTGGTGATGCTCATGGCCGTGGTGAAGTTCCTCCATCCACATCGGACCGAACCGCAGGCCACGCAGATTCCGGAGCAGGAGCAGGCAAATACAGATTCAGAAGACGAAGAGGTCGACTCTGAACTTTCATCGCCAAGGCCGCCAGAGCTGCCAGAGCCGCCAAGGCCTTCGGAAGACGGTGATGCAGCCGAGTTCCTGCAGGCTCTCGGGCCCCTCTGCAGCGCCTCGGCCAGCTTGCAACTGCTGCTCATCGACCTTCACCTCTAAGCCACCACGAAAGGTGCGGTTGCTCTGTGCCCAATTGCTTTCAACTCACTTGGATCGATGGTGGCCGATCCGGCATCGCAGAAACCTCGATCTGCAAGTCCTTCAGTTCTCCCGGCAGGCATGCCACAGGAGCATTCCCTCAGCCTTGTGGCCTTGAGGTGCACTGGAGTACCGGCAGCCTCGGTTGGCGAAAAGATGATGATGATGATGATGATGATGATGATGATGACGTGACGAAGAAGAAGATGAAGAAGAATAATATTATGATGATGACTTGATGACGCCGAAACCCCGGGCCCAGAACAAGATTCACAGACAGTGGACGTAGTTTTTGAAAGTTCTTTGGGCTTCTTTCTGCCTTCCCATATCGTAGCGCAGGGAACAAGTGCAAGGAAGTCGCTATGCCTCAACAATTCCACGAGAATGTCTTGCTGCAGCTTTTGCACGTTTCTCCGAGCCATCCGGGGGCTTCCAATGGCTGCATCGCGGGTGCGAAGACCTCCCCATCGGAGGTGGCCTCAGCTGAAGAGACAGCATGTCGTTTCCCTGCCCTTTCCTGTCTGAGTCGTTGCCAGGCTGCCCTGCCTTCAGCTAGCGCGCTTGTCCATCATTGCTGCGATAGCAGCGCCCTCAATAGCGAAACCTGTCCAGTGCTGGTTGGAGGTTTCGTTGACAGTTGCAGCTACATGATCGGCAGCGGGTGTTGTGCAAAGCTTGAGGGCCAGCTTTTCTGGTTTGGGGTGTGGCATCGGACGAAGAAACGGTGTGGGTTGACATGCCGTGCTGCACTTTGCGTGTGTGCCTGCCCCCGCTTGCAATGTTTAGCCGTCTAGCCTCATGATGATGTCATGTTACCCATCCCCTGTTTGACACGATTTGATGGAGCAATGGCTCTTGCTGGCTCCAGTGCACCTGCTGACGCACTGAAGAGTTCGTCGCGCAACCTGCGCAGGTGGAACATCCAGGCTGTGAGTCAGTCCCTGGTGTCATGTCCTACTTGGGGTCTGGTGGCTGCAGCAGCACTTCTGGCAATGGGTTTGCCTGTTCTCGTGGCAAGCATGAAGAGGCAACTGTCCAAGAAGTCGTCTTCGGGTGTTGTGAGCTTGGATGTTGTAAGGGTGCTGTGTGTGTTTCTTTGTCTCATGGCATCAAGCCAGGAGGAAGGTGCCGTCCTCTCCGAGAAGGTCTTCGGAACCTGGTGGATTGTCTGCTGCACTACGCATTGCTTCAAGCCTGACCTTTGGCAGTGCTCGCTCGCAAAGATCATTTGTTTTAATGTTTCTGCTGTTGTTGTCACTTGCCCTTGCAAATGCTGCAGCTGTCGCGCAGTCCTTTGCGCAGCGGGATTACATGACGGCACTATCGCAAAGAAACGGCGATCTTTTCTTCAGCAAACTTGGGCTGGCCATGGTTTTGCTGGCTGCAACAATGCCCTTACGATCACTGGCCGAATTTGCAGCGGGTGGTTTAACAATTGTTTGGCGGAATGCCCTTACTGACGGCTTGCTCCGAGAATACTTTCACCCAAAAGTTGTCTACTGGCTGCGACGCAAGGCTGATGTACCCGACCCAGACATGAGAATCGCTGTGGAAGCCGGTCACTTTGCCGATATGCTTGTTCTCATGATGCGCGACGTTTTTGAGAATGTTCTCAAACTCTCGGGGTTTATGGGAGTTGTGTACAGCATTTCGCCTTTGCTTTGTCTGGTGATGGCCGCCTATGCTGGGGTGGGTGCACTTGCCACCGTCAAATTCTTCGGGGCCCCACTGGTTCGACTGGATCGGACGATCAAGTCAGAGGAGGCAGCATTTCGCAAGTCCATCGCCCGCTGCTTGGACCGTGCCGAGCCGCTTTGCCTGTGTCGCGGTGAGCCCTCGGAAAGCACCCAAGCTGTGAAGCAGAGCTGGAGTCAGCTAGTAGCTAGAGTAAGCCAATCTGTTTAGCAGAAAGCTAAGCCATCCTGCAAGGCACCGAAGCACATGGTCGGTACAGCAGTCTGCGGCAGCAACAGTGGGCCAGGGCATTCTGGAGGACCAGCTTGGGAACCTTTCGAGAATGCTTCAGCTGGGCTGCCTACCTGCTCCCGGTCGCAATCGTGGCTCCGCTCTGGCTTCAGGATCAGGTGCCTTTTGGCACGGTGCCGCAGGCAGTTATGGCCTTTCAAGTTTCGCTTGGTGCTCTGACCGTGGTCGTCCGAAAATTCCGTTCTGTGTCTGCCTTGATGGCAGAGGGCAGCCGACTGGAAGGCCTCAGCCAAGCACTGTCAAAAGCGCTGCATTGCGCAGAGCACCCGCTACCGCTACCACAGCCTCAGAAGAGCAGTGCTGAAACCATCGGAATGGACGGGGTGTCGCTCACTTTACCGGATGGATCCCTGCTTTATAATCAGTTGTCCTTTAAATTGAAGCCAGGAGAACGTTTGGTTGTTTTCGGGCCATCCGGTGCTGGCAAGACTACTCTCGTCCGCGCGTTGGCGGGCTTGTGGGATGGAGGAGTTGGGAGCATTCGGCATGCGAGTCCTGTCGTGTTTCTTCCACAAGACCCTTATATGCCAGAGGGCACCTTGCGGCGAGTGCTAACATTTCCTGCTGCTCCGAATACTTTCCTGGATGAAGACATTCTTGCAGCAGCCCGGTGCTCCTGCCTTGACGATGTCATCTCTCGGTATGGAGAGGATCTGGAAGCGTGTGCTGACTGGGAAGCTGTGCTCTCCAGGGGTGAGCGGCAAAGATGTGCGTTTTGTCGACTGCTCCTCGTGCAGCCGAACTTGGCTATCCTGGATGAGGCAACCTCGGCTCTGGATGAGCCAACAGAGGAAGCGCTGTATCAGCAGTTGCTGAATCTTCGTGCAAGCTCAACATCGTGTGAAGCGATGAGCGTGGTTTCCATAACTCACCGACCGTCACTGCAACGGTTCCACACGCATGTGCTTCGCCTGCAGGTAGATGAGTCAGGTCAACCTACCTGGGCTTTTCAAGAGAACAACACTGCTTTGCCGTGATGACTCGTGGCAAGCTGCGTCAACCAAGCTCGGACAGGTGAATGCTTCACGAGCTTTGGATGAGAAAACGTGTCCATTCCGAGCTTCACAATTACAAAGTTGGATTGTTCTACCCGCGATTCCTCATGCGGCCTGTTTAGTTTCTGGAGCATTGTGTGTGAATTGCTCAGCTTTTCTGCGGGGGCTTTACTGTAGAACTTTTGGGCATTGAGAGTAACGTGGAGTCGTGTGCCCGACCAGTCTCTGGAGCACCAATGGACCTGGCCAGGACCCTGCAGCTGTAAATGTGTCTACGGCACCCGAAAAAGTGATGCTTGTGGAGCGCCTTGCCGGGGGCACCAGCACTGCAACCCCTGGGCCCGGATTGGACTCGTCGCACCGTTCTAGTAGTAGCCTTCCTGCCCAGCCCTTCGCTTGGGCGGCAAGACCAAGCAGCATGTCGACAGCATCTTCTCGCACCAACCCTCCGTGAATTCTTCCTCGCACCCACACCAGTCTTGCTCGTCAGTGCTGTTTGGGTCTACTCCACGTACTCTAAGTTGCTGTCTCAGACTGTACTCTTGCGGTGTTTGCAAGGTGTCTTGGCAAAGCTGGCAGCTCATCTGCAAACTGGTTCGTTGATTCTGCTTCGACGTGCTTTCGTCCCCAAGTATCTTCCTGCGGTGCAAGTGCAGGAATTCCACGACCTGGCTTTCGTTGCCGAAGTACCAATCCAAGAGGTGCCTGTTGTCTCCAACTGACAGAGTCGTGCATTCCAGGCGACCGGCGACTTTGGATCGTCGCGGTGCCCTCGCCGCATCACTAGCTGCGTCTGGGCCTTGTCTTTAACATTGAACCCGCAATCGTAGAGCCTCCAAAAAAGTTGAGGCTGAGCCTACCACAAACAGCAGTTGCTGAGGAGAAGGTTCGAAGCTGAACGTGCCGTTGTCAGTGCAGGGTTCAGCACTGCGTTTCCGCAGGTTCCTCCAGGTTCCATCCCGGCAGATCTGGTTGCAACCTCTGTTGGTCAGAAGGTGTGGCAAGCGAGAAAAACCGAACCCGAGCCGACTCGTCCAGTTGTGCCTGGCCGGAGCGCAGGTGACAACCCCAAACGGTGTTATCTATGAGCCACTCGAGCTTGGCCTGTGGCCTAGCATGCCTTGGGTGCTACCTGAGTTGCCTTCACAGCTGTTTCGAGGTACATCGGAGACGGGCCCCAGGAACGGGCCGCCGCGCGGAGGAGCGAATCTTCTGCTCAGGTCGGGCTGTTGCCGTGTTGCACCGTTTTGTTCATTACATTCGTCCACCTTTGAATGGACATGCCAGACGTCAGGTATACGGCGCACATTCAGGGCTTCGACGGTCCTGTCATAGATTCATCTGCATTCAGGGGCTCGTCCTGACCTTGGAGTGTAGGCGAGCCCATCTGGCAAGCTTCGAGGTAAACGTGCTATCACCAAGGCGCAAGCCCAACAAAGTGGATTTCGTCGAGTGCAGACTAAACGTTGACTGGCCCTCAGCATCGGTAGATGTGGCCACTACCGTGCCGCCTAAACTGCAAAGTCGATTGCTCCTCCCAAGCTGAGGATCCATCGCTCCCAAACTGTGTCTTTGAAGCACGGGCCACGGTGCTTCCTCCATGGAGCTGTGTTCGTCCTGTTCATGGGCATTGACCTGCAGCATTGGCGCAAGGACCTTCACCGCTCCAGTAGCAGGTGACACTTTGACGAGGTTTCCAGAAGCAAAAAACGTAGCCGCAGCGGTAGGTAGGGTTGTTGACAAGTAGACGGATAGGTAGAAATCACTGTGCGTATGCAGACAAGACTACTGTCATTGTACGTGCAGCAAGTGCTTTTGCAGCCTGTGTCGCTACCTACCTGCGAATATCTGCCCGCATATGCACGCGGTTTCTACAAGTGATACAAGTTCATCAACGTGACTCTTCTTCGTTGTGGTACATTCTCAAATCTTGTCCTGTTGCCCTGGACTGGAATCGTGAATAAGTGTACGAGTACGTAATAGTGTGCATGTACGTGTACGTATTTTTGTTGTAGCAGTTTGAACGCATTGTCCTATCGCTGGTGCCGGGCTGTCAGCAGCGCGACAAGACTTGCATGCCCAGGCTATCAAGCTCATGAAGGTTGGAGCCAAAGGTGGCGGTGTTCTGTGAGCATCCAACCATGTATGTGCTAACCATATGCAGCTCTTCGACAGGTCGTGCTGTTTGCCCTCCTAGTTTGAGTTACGGCCGCCGCCTCAGAAACTCAACTACAAACCGACGGGGCCCCATAGGCGTGATCGGACTCTACCGCACCCATGGTTCGACAGTTCATCCGACCCAGTCCCCCAGAAAACAAGACCGACCTGGCCTGCTCGAGTTACAGTCGAAACGGCTCGGTAAGCTGACGACACCTCTGTGTGTCTGTGAGATAATAAATAAAGATGGCGGCATTCCCAGAAATTGGATTGGTGTTCTTCAGTAGGAGGTACTTGAGAAAAGTTTTTGCAGGTGAGGGCAAGACTGCGTATGATGCTGACGAGAGTGCTGACGTCAAGAAGGCCATGTGCCGACCGCGCACACGACCCCGGGTGTGCCGTACCGTGATGCCGGCTTCGCGTGGATCGGGCAGGTAGAAGCCGGGACTACACTCTACTATGACTTGGAGCTGTGCCTTCCTCTGTCTTCACAACTTCTCTCCCTTCGTGCGCCAGGGTTTCGTCAGCTCCTGACCAAGACCACTCAGGATTCGTATCATCAAGCCCTGACTTGGGACACATGTGTTTTGAGACTTGGAGCCTCTTATTTCTGATGCAGCCTTGGCCCCTCAAGGCTCTTTCTCACCTCTGTAGTGGTTCCGATGGACAGACTGTTATTATATGCCCCCGCAGTCCGGAAATCGGAAAGATGAAACAGGGCCAGAAGATGCGTCTTCGAATCCGGGTCGCACACACATGTGCATCTGCAAACTGTGTGATCGATCAGAGCAAGTTATGTCCATGATCTTGTACATGCAATGCGGCTCTCAGATGCTTTGTCTTCTCGCACCAGCTGTGCTCGTGGAAAAACGCCTGTAGCCCCACATAGTGTAGAAGTGTAGAAAGCAAAGCAGCACCAAGGCATAATTGGTAGCACTCTGAGATTAGTCGAACTCTTGACAGCGGAGCGAGTCTGCATTATTTTTTTAGTGAGATCATGTGACGCATGTGCCTTTGAATACCAATGTGCCTTTGAATACCATGAGCTGGAGTGGCCACGAGCTGAGCCCGCAGGTCCTGGCAGGATTCTCACTGCCCCAATTTCGGTTATCAGGTCCTGGTGGTTCTGCAGCGAACCGGCCTCTGCCAACGGCTACGGACGACTATCGCTATGCGCAGGCATGTCTTTTGACGAAGTAGCAAGCACGATCGGAGAGTCTTCGGTTCAGGTTCCCGAGGAAGAATCCCAGAGGCTTGCAGGCCTGTGGCTCGCTTTCTCAGATACGCAGAGCCTTCGATTCTTGGGTTTGCATACCCTTGCCAATTGGATTTCATGGTTCGAGCATGTTTCATGACAGCTTCCGGTAACCCCTTCGTCATATTCGGCCGTTGGCTCTACGTCAGCAGCCGAGCTGCCCAAAGTAAGCAGTGCCCCCAATGACAGGACAAAGCGTGATATGCAGCTTGGGTGAACGGAGTCTTCAACACAAGTTTAGGAGTTGCATAGCTTTGCAGACTTGATGCCCCGGCAAGACATGATTGGAAAACGTGGCCTTCCTGCTGCGGTGGCTTTGCTGATCCTGAAGCACGGGCAGTTTGCGCCTCAGAGGAGCGGTGTCGTGTGATATCGCGCGGCGCAAGGTCTGCTTGCTGGTTGCGCTGGCTTGCCAGCCACTAGTGTGCCTGGTTCTGGGCGGAGTCTATCATCAAGCAGGCTTCGTCGTGAAGCAAAGTTCTTTTCTCGACTCGGATGCTTCGACAGGTGATGCTTCCCGATTGTCGCGAACGACGCTGAGAGCGGGTGCTGCACCCCTTGGGGAGGATCTCCGCCGCACGTTTTTCACGATTCTGCTTCAACCGTCGCATGATGTTCGCCTGAGCATGATTTGTCCAGTTGAGCAGGCCTTCCAGCTTCCCCCGGAAAAGGTGGTAGAGGCTTGCTAAGACTGCTAAAAGTCTTGCCATTGTTTGGAACTGAGAAGCCTCAGCATTGAAAGTGTGGTTTCCAGAGGCCGTCTCCAAAGCCGGAACACGAGTAACACCCTCCGACGTCGCTGCTGCTGGCGGTCTCAGTTTGGAAGAGGCGCACGAAAGAAAGAAGGCTACTACTATTCCTACTCTTCCTATGCCTACCACCACCACTACCACTAC